AAGACCTGACCAAACAAACATAATTAAAACCAATTAAAAACAGTTCAGATCTCGTCACTTACCTGCAGAAAGTCTCGTGTAAAGTTGTTAGCGCGCTTGGAGTTCGGACCCGGAACTTCGTACAGCGGACACTCTTGGCCGACTGTGAAGATGGAGTTCACCGATCGGATCCAGTAGCTGTTTCGGGTGCGAATAACGAGGAAATCGTTATGTGCCATCTTGTGCGGATAAATGGGCGCACGGTACATGTTGTTCTCAATCGCCTGGATGCATTGGCCAGGATGCAGGATACCCAGGAAGGGACTAGTGTGCGCAAAGGCGACCTCTCCGTAGACATAATCCTGGGGGCCACTGTCCTTCTCCGCCTTGCGCTTGTAGTAGTTCTTGATCTTGGAGCACATGCCCACCTGGTTCATCAGCGGCGGGTGCTCCTCACAGAATTCGGCCAACACGATGTCTCCGTCCCTGCCGCTCAGATCCTCCGGGTTGCGCATAAAAAAGACGTCTCCGCCACCAGAGGCGATGCGCTCCACCTCTCGCTGCTTGGCCTTTTTAGCGATGGTCTTTAGCAGTGGGAAGACGGGATGCGGCGAAACCTGGGCCATCGGTCCGTGCGAGTACTTCTTGAGTGGGGGGCGATGGAAAGAGCGGAGCTTCATCGGGCCCATGTGCGTAGGCACGAAGGGAGCCCGCAGCTCTACCACCGGAGTCGAGTGCTGAATGAGATTTCCTCCACCCACCTTAAGGCGCAGTGTCGGTTCTGTCTTGGGTGTATAGTAGCTACAGGACGATTAACAATTAGATTCCGCTTCTGTAAAATCTATAGGAGACTTACGTGTCATTAGATATGTTAAAGGGGTCTCGGTCGGGACTTTTGGGTGGCGGCGGCGGCGTGTCCTCAGCCAGCACATTGATTACTCCCGCCTTACCCAATAGAATTTTAGACTTCTTTACGTGGGGATGGGGAATTTTGATCTTTGGCGGAGGACCCGTGCTCTTGTTGATCTTAGAGGGATCGATGTCGTCGGGTATGCCCAGGATGATGTTTTCGTCGTTGGGATCCAAAGTAAGTACCTTCGGCTTGGGCACCTTGCTCATTTGCTGTGCATCCCATATCACCTCGTCCTCCCACTTGTGGTATATTAGCTCCTCGTTTTCCACCGGGAACAGACTGTACCAGGTGTCATCGGGTGCCTCCGCTGGCTTTGCTTGAGCACTGAAATTGAGAGCCATATTAGTCCTATATACCGGTATATTGTAAAGTCGATAAATTACTTTTGCTGTGCCTTTTTGCTGGATGCCGCTGAGCCCTGCTTGGAGCTACCACTGCTGTTTCCTACTGGCAGGGACGTCTTTCCCGGCTGACTGAAGGCGCCAGCAGTTCTCGATCCGCTGGAGGGCAGCCATCCAGCTGCATTTGTCTTTGAATTGAGCTTTTGTAGCACCTTGGCCTTGATGTCGTTCCCATCCCAGACCACGTCGTCCTCCCAGTGCAGCTGTGAGACCATTAGAAAGGCGTCGTCCGCAATGCTTGGCTCCTCGGCCTCTTCCTCTGGACTGTTAACACGCCGCTCATCCTTGGTCTGAGGCTGAGACGAGGAGGTTGCCGTCTTTGTCTTGAATCCGTAGTTGAATCCCTCGCCGGAGTCAGGCACCTCCAACATGTCGTACCAAATTTGTGCTGGCCCGTAACGCCAGTCAGCCACCTTGGGCTTTTGGTCACTGTTCTCTCCGTTTTCCGGTCCCTCCGGCCGCACGTCCTCGCTATTGAAGTCTCCCAGCAGTTTGTCTTCGTCGTCAGACATGCACTCCGCCGGCGTTGGCTCTGATGCATAGTGCAGACTGAAGCCTCTCTTTCGAGGCTCCTCAGTGTCGCTAGGGGAATCGGAGCCACCAGTGTTGGTCAGCTGCAAGGCAAGAAGTATTTACAAGGGCAAGTAAAGCAATTAACGTATATTATCCTGCTCAAAAATAATATCCCTTTATAAAATGTACTTTAAAATATTAGTTCCTACCTTCTGATCCCTGGACTGATTGCGCTTCCGGCGGCGTTTGCGCACGTGTCTCCAGATCTGGGGCAGACTAGTGGGCTTACCCGGTCCAAAGAGACGCGAAAAGCGTAGCACCTTTTGGGGGCGAAAGTCGGGAAAGAGCTCGCGCACATCCACGTTCTGGTACTTGGAGGGCAGAATGTCGGCCAGCGGTGTGTCCAGTTTGCGATCCGCATCTAGAAGGCATTAGTTATATTAAATAACATTTTTGCTTTAAAATCCCAATTTACCTTTGGGATCGGTGGACTTGGAGTCGCCGCCGGGACTGGAGCCCTCGTTTGGTTTGGCCGGTTCATCAGTTCCGCTGCCAGAGCCCGATCGCATGGGAGCACTGGGTGGAGGCATCAGTTCCTTGTCGTCCTTGGCTGCAACAGAAAATTGTTTAAATAAGACACACAAGTGCTATATGTTTTATTGAGAAAATTTGTTTGCGTCACTTTGAATCAAAAATGTCACTTTAACTAGAAATACACAGAGACTGCGATGTATTCGGTTAGGCGAAACATAAATAATTCCTATAAATATTTTCAATCGCTAGCCTTTTTTCGTACAATAATAAAACATATGTAGAATTCTTTTAACACTCTAGAAAAACACGCTGGTACATATATGTTTATGAATAATGAAGTTATTGAATTTATTATTAACATTAAAAACAAATTAGCACATAAACATGTATTAAACAACATTCTAAGAGTTTAATAAAATAATTTTAGAAGAAATGTATGTACATTCCTGAAACAATATTTGCATCTATAATTTTTCTTTAAGCCCCGAAGATGTCGACTAAAATGATGATTCGAGGCATCACTTACTCAGCTTGGCCTCCACCTTGGAAGCGGGAATGGCGTCCTCTAAGTCATCGTAGGACGTTGATTCTTCCGGCGGAGTGCGAGGACAATCCTCGGATAACTCAGTAATATCCGAATAATCTATGGCATCGTCCTGAGCTCTTACGGCACCATCCTCCTTTTCGTCACTCTTTACGCCAGCCTTTAGAGCATCGAACACACTCAGTCCTCCACTGGCACTGGCCTCAGACTTTTCCTCGTCGTCGTCCTCGGACAAGGGCTCGGCCTCCTTGCGGTCTATTACTTCGAGCAGCATTGAATCCAGACCCAATCTGATAAGGACGGTTTTTTGATAATATAAGATATATGTACATTTGATAGGTTTTAATGTTAAAAATTAAAGTTTTGCCTGCACCATAGATTTAAAGGGATATTAGCACCTAGTGACATCACTAGTAGTATCACTAAATTGTAATAAGATATGTGTACATTTGATAGGTTTCAATGTTAAATATTAAAGTTTTGCCTGCACCAAAGATTTCAAGAGTTGATAGTGCTTAAAGGGATATAAGCACCTAGTGACATCACTTGTAGTATCACTAAATTGTAATTAGCAACGACGATCATTGTATTGTTATAATTGATAGTTCATGTTTACTAAAGCAGGAGGAAGTATTTTGAAATCTCCAAGTAATCCAGCCTACAAGTTCATACATATTAGGGAGAAAATTTAAGATACTAGGAATGCTCTTCTGAAAGATGTCTCCGCAAGCACTTGGGACATCTACATATGTATACTTACTTGGACAGGGATCCAATGTTCTCCCGGAGCTCCGCATCGAATCCGGTGCCCCCGCGTCCCTCGCCGTCATCTTCTAGCAATCTGCCCTCGGAGTCGATGTTTCCGAAAAGAATGCCGGTCAAGTCCAATCCATTGCCAATCGAGCCCTCGTCGTCACTGTTGTCGGATTCCATCTCCATATCCATCGCTCTCCAATGTTTACGCGGCTAAATTCTTGTTTTTGTCGGAGCGTTATTGCATTTTTTCCACGAAACACGGTTAAGTATGACCGTAGCGGAACATCTCAAAAATATCACACACAAAAAACCATTCATCCATATGGGCCGGCATTGAAATGGCCAAGGGTTGGAAACTTGGCTATTTACAATTTCGGTCAAAATAATAGTAATGCCTGCGTTATTTTCTTCTGTCCAATTCAAACAAAGCTCACATTAATTTTTGTTGAGAAAACTAAAAAATCACTGGAGAGTTTACGAAGATGTCTACTATATATAGCCGCAGAATTGAAAATCTGCAGTGATGGTTGATCAGGGCAAGTGATATCAATTGAAATGTATCGCAAAAACTAAAAAGATACGAGTACTTTTACAATTAGTTTGGGAAAATTAGCGGTAAAAGTGTAAACGTAAAATTTAAGAAAATTCGAGCTGTTGGGGACATTGGCATAAAAGTTCATTAGGCATGTTTTATTCTTTCTGAAATACGCACCGAATGACACTTTTCTCAAAACTCGCTAGTTTAGCGGGAAACAGCTATAAATAGCTTAATTTCAAAGGGCAGTAACTTCAGAACATGTAACGAACAGACTTGTGCTCTGTGTCGTTGAAAAGTACTTCAAAATACTATAAACGCCTTCTTAACGTAATTACACACACCTTTTAATGCAATTTTTCTCAACACCATAGACTAAAAACAAGAGAGAACGCTTTTGTCGAATCCCTTGACTAAATGTAATGAAAAAAAAACTTTTTATTAATAAATAGTTACGATCGCACCTTCATCATACATAAGTCTAAATATCAATTATATCCTGCATATTGTCTTGCAGATTTCCGAGTGATTAAAATTAGGAAGTGTATTTATTTAGTTGATATCAAAACTTTTGTATGTTCCGATCGTCACTAGTTTTTAACTCGGTAAGACTTTTGTTTATTTGTTTATATTTTTGTAAATTTCGTTTGTGCAATCTTAATTTTCTGAAACATTAACTCAATATTGTGCAACAATGGTAGTTTTTGAGAAATTAAAATACGAAATTACAGTAAGCGGGTTAGGATCATGAATTTATGTACTTGAAGTTTTATTATGTAGCTAAGCTAAGTAAGTCATTAAATGCGAGAGTTAAGTGTCGCTTAGAGCTTGAATGAGTCAAGTATTGAAGAATCCTTTTGTTTCTGACCAGCATTTTTGTAGAAAGCAGTCCAAGTCCGATCGTTGAATAGACGCCCCCTTGTTGAATGTCAGGTGTACCAGGTCCTGAATAGCAACAGGTGAATTAGCAAATCTTTTTCGGCCTACGAATTGTCGGCATCTGAAATGTTGAATAATTAGGAATGTATATAATATAAGCCCCATTGTTATTTTACCTTTGAGGCATTAAGTATTTAAGCTCGCGGCGCCAGACTTCTCTTCCCAAATATGGACAAATCATCCGCGAAAAATTGAATGTCGAATAATAGCTAAAAAATTCTGCGAGCTTCTGGCGAGTCTGGTCAGCATTTAACGGAATCTTGTTCATCTTGAAGTCGTACAAATTTAATTTACAAAATGTAGTTATCCATGCTTCGAAAGAAAGAAAATTAAAAATTAAATTAAACGAATTATACAACAACCTTATCAACTTGCGAGGTGAAAAGCTTTATACACAAACACAATACTCAGTTTTATTCAATGGACCCAATAGGAGATAAAAATGTACTCACGACCAACATTGGGACTTAGACCACTTTGAAGTTGGAACACAGATGGTAAATATCCGCGAACTTGCAGGAAGAATATAACCATTAGTACAAGCAAGTGGCTGCGAAAGACGGACTTAATCTGATGTTTTTCCGCCCATTCCCGTAGATAGATGACCATCAATCGAGCTAGGTAATAACGATTAATATCTGATCTTTCCAACGAACCAACATTACTCACCGACGGGCTGCAGTTCAAATATGTAGATAACCAGCTTGTTCTGGCCATAGGTTAAGCTGTTCGTAAAGCTAATGTCGCACTGGACATTCGAGTTCTTGTGCCGGACAACAATTACAGGACGTTTACCTCCCGATTTTTTTAGAAAGGCCCACATCGAGCGATTGTTTTGTAGGGCTTTGGTAATGACTTTCTCTTCATGAAGAACTTTTTCAGTCACAGTTGTGCTGTATATAGTGCTAGAATTGTCTGTCCCCAACAATTTTTCAGAAAAGTTCCAGAATGATTTTTAGGAAAAGCTCTTACCAATATCCACATATATGTCAAGATCCGAGTCAGGTCCGGCCAAGCCCAAAATTCGCGAGCCGAAAAGATTGATCTGAATTGACTCAGAAGGAAACTCCGGGCGCAAGGTCGCCACTAGTTCGGATGTAATTTTCTGATGGAATCTACCATTGTTTTGTAGCTTATTGGCTCTGCGCTCTTTATTTAAAAGAGTAATCCAAAAATCGCGGGTTTCTAATGGGTTTCAAAACATCAGAAAGGATGCTTGATTGCTTTAACTTTAAACTTACTGAGATCCATTTTGTGGTCAGGAACTTAAGTTAGTTCGAATAATCTGAACTTTCAATTTCCCCCAAAATTATTAGATTGTCCAGTGTGACCAAGACTTTCTTTTATTAAAGAGGCCCTACGTAGCCATGCCCTTAATTTGGGCCTGTTCAGAGTAGGGTCGAGTCTTGCCGTTATCGAGTCTTGGGCAAGACTCGAGTTTTGACTTGAAACAGTTTGTCTAATAGTTTGTCAGGTGCGTAGCCAGGGGGTTTTGGTAGTTTTACCACCCCATGACGGTTTTTTGTTAACTAGATAAATTTTTTCTAAAAATTAATTTTAAATAAGCAAAATTTGTAAGTCGTTTTGGTGATATAAAAAAGCCTTGCGATTAGATTTCTGATTTTGGTGGTCATACGCGGCCACTCAAATGCTGTTTGACCTACTGAAGGAAAACATCGACGAAACAATTGCAAGCCTTTCGTGTTAAGGGCTAGTATTCAACCTAACAAAAAGTCGTTCAGAACCAAAAAATGTATATAAAAAAAACGTCACAAGAATTTTGAATACTTGGCCAAAAATAAAACAGCTAACATGTTTTTTTAAAAGTTCCATCAGGGATCGAAAGTAAGTATTGGTTCAAATCAAGAAGAAAGTATTCTTGAAATAAAGCACGATTCATACTAAAATCAATCAAAAATCGCTTTTTAAAACAAGTAATTTACTACAATCAAGGGCGATTAACTCCTGGAAAGGAGAGCGCCTAAGCATGAACTCGAGAGCGCTTATGCTTGAATTCGAGAAGTCTTCTTCTCGAAACCGAGAAGACTTATGCTTAAAGTGAGACAACATGTTTTCAAAAAAGTGTTCTCAAGCCAAGAGCACTTCTTCTTGATTTTAGTAAAAGTACGGTCGGCTTACTGTTGAGCACGAAAATACTGAGATTGAGACTGATTAGAACGCTTTTTTTGATCGGTGTGCTGTTTTTAAAGCAACATTTTTTTAAGGGGCATACAAATAGTTTATGGTTATAGTGGAGCTTTCTTTATTTTTGGGCAAACTGATATAAAGACAATGGTATTGATTAGGGAAATAACGAAAAACCTTGATTTAATATGGGAATTGATCTATTTATTGAAAGTATTGTTGTATTCTTTATAAGAACAGTTTTGAATAATTTATTGCGGTAATTCGAAAAAGTTGTTTTTAAAAATCAAATCGTGATTTATACTCTAAAAAACGAGCAAGTAAAACAAAACTAAACTAAACTAAAAATTAATGTGGGATGACAATGCCGAAGGACTTCTTAAGAAATACAGGCTTGTTTAGTTAAAAATCATGTCAGAAGTGCTAGTATCACATCGATATCCAAACCCTTGGATTTCAGAAATTTCATAAAACTATTTTTTAGCAATAGACCCCCACTAATTTCAATAGAATTCACCAGAGTGCTAGCACTGTTATCTCCCTCGGCACCATCACCTTATCATTATAACTAATTTTACAGAGAATCACAAGTGGGGGACTGATAAGCTTATTAGATTAGACAGAGATTACTGCAAGCTCAATGAGCCAGAAAGTCTCCGGTGTTCAGTATTTTTGTTTCAGCGTATAGTGCAGACGGGCAGAAGTGAAATATGGCTGGAGAAACTGTAATTTTGGCCTACTCTGGTGGCCTGGACACTAGCTGTATCCTCAAGTGGTTGTTGGACAAGCAGTATGAGGTCATCTGCGTCCTAGCCGATGTTGGTCAGAAGGAAGACTTTGCCGCCGCCGAGAAGAAGGCCCTAAAGATTGGTGCAAAGAAGGTTAGTTGTAATGAGACGTGTGAACAAATATGTGATATGAAGAGGCAAGCCATCTTAGAAAGTTTGAACATTATAATATATTTTCACTGTATTAAAAGTAGCATTCGTCGACTTCTAGGTGATCGTGGCTGATGTGAAGCAGTCCTTCGTAAACGATTATATATGGCCGGCCACACAGATGGGTCTGGTCTACGAGGAGCGCTATCTGCTTGGCACTTCTCTGGCCCGGCCCTGCATCAGTGTTGCCCTGATGGAGGCGGCCCGCCAGTGCGGGGCTAAGTACCTAGCCCACGGAGCCACCGGAAAGGGGAACGACCAGGTGCGCTTCGAGCTGTGCGCCTATGCGCTCAAACCGGATCTTAAGGTGAGTCTAAACATCCCAGGGGTATCAGACTGACTGATAAGCGTTTTCAAGGGCAGATTGGAGGGCTTATCAGGCTTTTGTATTTCCCCTTACAAAAATTTAGTATTAAACAAGGAAGAATGCTATAGTCGAGTACTTCGACTATCAGATACCCGTTACTCAGCTAAAGTGACCAAAAGGAAATGAAGATATGCAAGCAGCAAAGCGAGATTGAAATGCGCCACTACCCGCGATCTCAATATATGTTTATGTGGGCGATAGACAGCTTTAAGCGCGATGGGCGTTAGAGTGGGCGTGGCAAACTTTTTTTGGGTCAATCGATAGGTATTGATGAAAATAGGTATCAAGAAAATTGTGGGCGCCACAGGCTTAGGCGGCTTGTGGGCGCCACAGGCTTAGGCGGCTTGTGGGCGTTAGAGTGGGCGTGGCATAGTCGCGTAACAAAACACTAAAATCTTAGATCATTTGCTTTAGTCTTGTTGATCTATGTTTCCTCCTCGCGAACCGTGTTTACCCGCATATTGTGCCCGCGCGTTTGTACTGCTCTTAGTGCATTAACGTTCAACAATAAAAAACTTGCGCTGCTTACAAGGCTACGGAATCGAAATCTGAAAACCCCATTCTCTATCTTTGATAGTTTCCGAGATATCCGCGTTAATATTTACGATTTTTTGAAGTTTGTGGGCGGTTTGTGCGTGTTAAAGTGGGCGTGGAAAATTTTTTTTGGATCAATCGACAGGTATTGATAAGAACAATACATTTCAGCTAAAATTTTTATTCTAGCATTAAAACTGTAGGAGCCACAGTTTTGTGCTGTTTGTGGGCCTTAGAGTGGGCGAAATTGACGAAGCAAACATGCGCTGCTCTGGAATCTCTAAAATCTGCATGCCTAATCCCAGTATTGTAGCTTTTATAGTTTCCAAGATGATAACGTTCATACGGACAGACGGACATGGCTAGATCGACTCGGCTAGTGATCCTGATCAATAATATATATACTTTATGGGGTCGGCAACGCTTCCTTCTGCCTGTTACATACTTTCCCACGAATCTAGTGTACCCTTTTACTCTACGAGTTACGGGTACAACTATGAACGTTTTTTTTTTGAGGTGTTATATATACTTGTAAAAAGCAAGGTATACAATTATGTCTTTTTCTTCTTATTAAGGAACATATTTGTTCCACATATTTTCCTTTTATAAAAAAGTTTCAATGTTGTGCCCATCCGAGTACAAGGAAAAATTAGAATATGGGAGGGTGAAGTAAAAATGATACATTCTGTTTTTATCTAGAACCAGTAAAACGGGCTGTGGAAAAAATACTAAATCAAAAGATCGAACAACTAACCTAAGATCTATAAGCCTTGAATGGTATGCAATATAATGGTTTGATACTATTTATAAATAGTATTTATATATTTTATTTATAAAACTGATATCTGGAGTTTAAAAATATGTTATAAAATTCAGTATATAAATAAACCAAGACGTATTCTTGACGATTATGCCTCTTCTAAATTTTTTAGATCATCGCTCCCTGGAGGGATGTGGAGTTCTGCCGCCAGTTCCAGGGCCGTCAGGACCTCATTGCCTATGCCCAAAAGCACGGAATCGAGGTGAGTGCCAAGCCGGCTACTCCGTGGAGCACCGATGCCAACATCCTGCACATAAGCTACGAGTCCGGAGTCCTCGAAGATCCCAACACTGTGGCTCCGGACAATCTCTACGAGATGACCGTCGATCCTTTGACGAAGGCTCCTCGGGATGCCGTGCGTCTGGTCATTCAGTTCCATCGCGGACTGCCCACCAGTGTGGAGGATTTGGCAAGCAGTCGAGTTTATACCGAACCCCTGGATATGCTGGAGTTCCTAAACGAGCTGGGTGGATCTTACGGCATCGGACGGATTGACATTGTTGAAAATCGTTATGTGGGCTTAAAATCTCGCGGGGTATACGAAACGCCCGGAGGCACCATCCTGTATGCTGCTCACCAGGATCTCGAGGTCTTTGCCTTGGACCGCGAAGTACTCCGCACCAAGCAAGTCCTGCGAGATCGCATGGCCGACTATGTGTACAATGGCTTCTGGTTCAGTCCAGAGGCGATTTATGTCCGAAAATGCATAGAGTTGGCCGAGGAGCGTGTCTCTGGAAAGGTGACCGTGGAATTGGCACCTGGGTATTGTCGCGCCGTTGCCCGCAAGGCCGCGGACGATGTCGGAGCTCTTTACAACGAACAGCTCGTCTCCATGGACGTCCATGGTGGCTATGTCCCGCAGGATGCAGGAGGCTTTATTGCCATCAATGCGGTCCGGATTAGGGAACATGTGCGAGCATTTGGCGCCTACGAAGTGCCAAAGCAGGGCAAATGAACGATGTTGTAATACATTTATTATACCCGTTACTCGTAGAGTAAAAGGGTATCTTCTAGATTCGTCGGAAAGTATGTAACAGGCAGAAGGAAGCGTTTCCGGCCCCATAAAGTATATATATTCTTGATCAGGATCACTAGCCGAGTCGATCTAGCCATGTCCGTCTGTCCGTCTGTTCGTCTGTCCGTATGAACGCTGAGATCTTGGAAACTATACAAGCTACAATACTGGGATAAGGCACGCATATTCCTGAGATTCCTGCGCAGCGCAAGTTTGTTTCAGCAGAGGCCACGCCCACTCTAACGCCCACAAACCGCCCAAAACTGAGGCGCCCACAATTTTCATGCTAGATAAAAAGTTTTAACTGAAATGTATTGGTCTCGTCAATACCTATCGATTGATCCAAACAAAAATTTGCCACGCCCATTCTAACGCCCATAACGCTTAAATCTGTCGACCGCCGGTAGGTGGCGCATTTCAATCTCGCTTTGCTGCTTGCATACCTTTATTTCCCTTTGGTCCCATTAGTTGAGTAACGGGTATCTGATAGTCGAGGTACTTGACTATAGCGTTCTTCCTTGTTTTTTAAATAAACTTGAGTTTGTTTTTATTGCCCATGTGCTGCAATAATATATGGAGCTTGTACACTTTTTATTTTTGTAGGCGATATTCTTTTGACCTTTTATTATATTACACATATTAATCAAATGACATATGTATAAGCCGAGGCGATCAAATTGGTTGGATAACCAGATTACTGGAATTGATTTTACACTATATATTAATTTTAACCAGGGCTTTAAAGATAATGTTGGAGTTAGTAAAAAGCGGAAATAATATTGACTAACTTTACTGCCAAAAACAAATTAAATATTATCGACTAACATAAAATGTCAAATATTTTGACGAGAGTTCTCATCGTTTTTATATAAACTATACGTTGTATTTATCTTTTTATCAATCTTTTTTTGGGTGCACATTTTCCGTGTATTATCCTTTCACATTTCTGGGTGCAGTTTATCGCACCAAAGAAAAACTAAGTCGATAAAAGCACGTCGATTTCCTCTTATATTAAACACATACTTTTATTTTTTGGTAAATAAATCAAGGTGATGAGATTGGTTTGGGAACCAGCATACTGGAATTTATTTTGCACAAAATTATTATTATGTTCAGTAGCAGTTATAGTGCGGAGTCAGAAAAAAGGGAAACATCATTGAGTGACATCGCCGTTGATAGAACAAAAAGGATCAACAACAAAATGACGTATAGATTACCCTGACGATTGGCACAACCACTGAAAATAATTATAATTAAAAAAGATAAACTTGTTTATGTAAACCATACGTTGTATCCCTATGTTTGTGCTTCTTCTTATGCTTCTTTTCCTTTTTCTTTATTTTACGCACATTGTCCGTGTATAATCCTGGAACATTTCCAGGTGGAGTATATCTGACCACAAGAACACCTTGCAAGGCACTGTAAATAAAAAATATTAAAATTAAAAACATGAATTAGTGGTACGCCCGGCTTCTGATATTCATTGATCAGGCTACTTACTTTATGTTAGCATCTCCATACCCCATAAATTGGGAAGATCTCCAAATCAGGGCTGTATACTCCTTAGCTCTGGGGTCTAGTACGTCAAATTTTCTTCCTTTATACCAATTGCGGACACACCGAGACAGTGCTCCCGCTCTAATTTCATATTTGCAGATGTTTTCGGTGTATTCCTTGTTAGTGGGGTCCGAATATGTAAAATTTCCCCATTTGGCTAGTTTCTGTAAAAAAACTCGTTAGGCAGTCAGGTTAGGGGTCCGAATGGTAGAACTGAATCATACGTTAGCATATTTTTGGCATCCGTCGCTGAGAGCCAAATCCAAAGCCAATGACTGCGATTCGTGGCGTTTTCTCCTCTTGTTTGTATCTCTCAAAACTATCCGTGCATTGTCCATGTTCATTGCATATATCGGGCTAACCTGGAATGGATTCTAAGCTCCGGAACTGTTACAGATTCTGTATTTTTATCAATTACCTCGCTCGCCGCCAAAAACATAAATATTGAAATTTTTATAAACATCATACTTGAATTTTTGGTGAGTCTCTTAGAGAGTCTCTTTACGAAAAGTTTCGATATCTAATAGTTTAACATTTTTGAGTAGTTCTGAAATGTTTTTCAATGCTCAGTTGTACCATTTTTCTCAAAAATAAGAGAAATTTGTTAATTCAATTGTTTGGATCTTAAACTAAAAATGGTTATACTTTTTCCAAAAATCCCAGTTTCAACAGGAAAATTCGAGTAAAGTGCATTCCTGCCGAACTAAATTTTTCGTCCACATGCACTTCGGGATGGCAGTTAGATGTGTGATTTCCATTGCAATCAATTCGAGTGTTTGTTTAATAAATCTGCTGCCCGAGTGTGTCGGCGGGGACACTTGTAAGGGCAGAAGAATACACAATTAATGAAATACTAGCATATAAATAAATATACATATATCATTCCCAATATTTGGCAGAGCTGAGGCAAGAGTAAACAGAAGAGCCAGCACAACTGCTCCATGTTGGATTCCCAATTGCATTAATCTTATTTCCGGAGTGGCTCAGGTCCGGCGAAAGATGAGCAAAACAAAAGACGCTTCTTGTGTGTACACACTCGCACATAAATGCAAAAACTAATATTATTACAACAAATAAATAGAGACCCTCGGCCAGTCCGGCAGCAGCAGAAACATCGGCTGGGATTGTAGTTCAGACTAGTTGGATATTTATACGTCCGTCTGCATCTGTGCCTTCGTGTGTAGGCAAACATTGTCTATCTATCGACATGAATTGATGACGGAGCCGAGTGTCGGATGCCATCGAAGACATTTCCGAGCGCAGGGAATCACGGCTAGTCACAAAAACATAAGTGATGAAAACATTCTACCCAACTTGGATCTCCCAAAGGACTTCGTGCATCAATATTTCGTTAAGTTGTTAGGACTTAACTGTTCTTTTTTTTCCCTGTGGCAAATACCAAACCCCTAGATTAAACCAAAATAACTATAACTGAACATTGGGATGGTGGTTTTTGTATTACATTATCTATTGCTAAGGCATGTGGAAAACGAAATATACATATAAGTGTACACCACTTTCAATGGATATCCTTTGGTAAATTAAAAAACGTGGCCTAGCAAATACCAAAAAATTATTACTTTGGTGTTTTTTGACATATTAATTTCTTCTCTTGGGAATATCATTTTATTAGCATTTCAAAACATTGACCGATATATTTCGTTTTCGGTAAACGTAGACGGTAGTAAATTGAAATAAAACACTATCTTAAAATTTCTTTAGTTAGTTTTTAGTTTTCCTAAAATCGAAAAGCTCTGTTCGTGCAATGATCCCACGGGAACGACTTGCAAGGGTGTAGAAACTTCGACTTCCTTTCTTGTTCAACATACATTGAGTGAGATTGAAAAGTATGCTTACCAATCATGATTAAGTTAACTAACTGAACGCATGGTCTAAGAGGTAGAAACTTTCCTGTATAATTTGAGGTATAAATAACAGTTCCATTAAAACATTTGATATGGCATACTGATTTTCTTCTGCGCAGAATATCTACTTATGTTTGGCTTTGTTCAATGCGGAATTTAGCTGAACTCTGGCCAGAAAATGCCTTTGTCTGTTGGTCAGGCGTATCGCTGGTACGTATCCTATAGGGGGCCTCGAAACCGCGGCGATGGACCAACTTAACTGAACTCGACTCGGGGATGGTGCAGCCCATCCATCCGTCCACTGGTGCATCCAGGAATCTATCCATCCATCAGCGGCAGGGACAATGTTGCTTTTGTTGGTTGCGTCGGTTGCTGGTGGCACACGATCAGAATCAGACAGCGTTGACGTTTCAACTTTGCGCCAAACTAGGCGAATGGCAAAAAGGGCTTTGGCCCAAATATGGGCGAACGCAACCCCCCATAAATGCTGAAAAAGTTAAGCTCTCGGTTTTTGCGGGATTATTTGCGAGCGTTCAAAGGATGTCGTTAGTCCTTTGCGATTCGCAGGCGCAACTTTTGCGAAAGCCCCGCGCTCTCTCCTTCTGGTTTTTGTGGCCCCTCTGTGTGTGTCGCCTTTTTTGCTGTTCTGTTTATTGAAGTTGATAAATTGAATCAAAGGTTAACTTTGCGAAAAGTGTGAAGTATGATTAACAAGAAGGCGGGAAAAGCGGCTTAAAGCGCGCATTTAACTGGCTGCTAATTTGCCCGAGTTACCCGATGATATCCTTGCCGGGAAAATTGATTTAGTCGAACAGTAAACAAGACTCGAAAGAGCAGCCCAAATTCCCCAGATACATTGCACAGGATGATAAAATAGAAGTCCCTGTAATTGCAAAGAAAAACACGCTCTGTCTCTTTCACTGGAGCTGTCTGAAAGCTGTCGGAGCTGGCAACAACAGCCAGAAATTTATGGCCAACTGGAACTGGAACCAGGAGCCAGGAGCCAAGAGCTGGGAGCTGGGAGCCGGGATCCTGGCACGCCCAATACACTTCAGCAAACATAAATTTATTTATGAGCATGTGTCCGCTCCCCGGCCCCCACATCTCGCATGGAAGGAGGAGGGTCCTTCCGCCCATGCTCACAAATTGTTTGAGGGTGAATTTTAATTATTCCTCATTGTTTTGATAGCAACGCATGCAGCGCCCTTCTCTTACATCCAAGAATCGTGTAGCTATAGGGAACCGAAATGTTTATATAACTACGACTACAATACTTGGAACTTTGGTTTTTTAGGAGCGGTTCTAAAATACTAACTGTTAGTGACCGAGTGACTTGAAAATTTGTGAAATAATAAATAATACCAAAAAGTCTCTGGAATCGACTTTTGCTGATAAGTGATCACAAACTTTTACACATAAGTTTTTACTAAAAAGTGTTCAGGAATAATTTCGAAACTAAAATTAGGTAATTTTAGTTCTATATAAATTCGAAGCTACATTATAAAACATTTAAAATTTTTTATGCCACATTTTCTCCTTGTGTTCTGTAAACATTTTTTATGCTTTTCGACCTCTACTCATTTAAAATGGTTTATAAATGACTTTAATTGTTAGCCAAATACAAACATAGCGAAAATGTATCCCAAAAACATTTTGCCGAATATGCATCACCAGGCTGATATTCACAAAATGCTTTTATATTCTAATCAGAGACCATTATATGTAGATAAGATCAATGGCCGCGGAGACCTGTTCAGCTTCATTGTACTCAAGAATTCGCCTCGATGTCCCAATCTCAATTCAAGCGAAAGTCTTGACCTCTTTCAGCGCTTTGATTTTAATTATCACGCAGTTGCATTCGCCAGCTGCGCTGTCTCCATGACTCCTGGCCTCTGACTCTTGACTCTCGACTCCTGACATCCGACTTCCGATTTCCGACACCCTGCTCCGGACCTTTCGCTTCTTCGCGGCGCCAAAACTATGGGGCAAAAGGAATTTTAATATTGAAATTTGTTTGCGCGGCTTTGTTGTAGCTGTAGTTGCTGGCCCTGCCGTTGGATGCATTCTCGTTTTGTAATTAAGTGCAGACAGAAGTGGAAATCAGGTCACTCATACGCCCCATTGGCCGACGGTGTGACGCGGCGTTGTCCGTGAGAAAACTTAATTTTTCAAATGAATTTTTCCGTTTGCAGCAGCGCCGCAATGGCTTTTCAAATTATTACACTTGGCAGCGGGGAGAGAAGACCTTTTTTGTTTTTCCCGCTTCCAAGTCGGTGGCAGCAGCTGCAGGTAATGTTGAAGGGCCGAGATCTGGGGACAAGCGAAACTAATTAATTTGCGAACATCCCAGGTGGACCTAAGAATTCGTATATTTTTTTGTGCTGCAGCGGATGATATTGTTTTTCAGCTCCCTTTTACGTAAATATGCAAATCGCAGCGAGAAAACTTTTTCCGTGCAATTGAAATTGAGTTTTAAAGTTTCGAAATCCATTTTAATGCATTTCGCTCCACTCTTTTCCGCGCATGCAGTTCGCAAAGCGGGTAAAAGCCGTGGAGCACAAGGTAACTACAAAATTCCAGATACAATTTTCCAACAGAATGTTGCCCTGCCAACGCGGCACGTGGAACGTGGCCAGATTATGCTGTATTATCACCTGTAAATCCTTATTGGCAATCAAAACTTTGCCAGTAGCGCTGCCCCCTGTCCACCTCCAGCTCTACCCACCAACCACCCTCCCCACCCGGCTGCCTTTCCTATTTTTCGTTAGTATTTGTATTTGCTACTTTCAATGGATTTCGTGAAATCTGCAAAATCTGTGCATGCAGGCAAACTTTTAATTTTATTGGAAAACTTGTTGAGTTTTTCGGTTCGGCATATTTTTATATTCTCTGCGAAAAAGTATGGGGTTGTACAAACATCTCTAAAATCATAAACATAGCAAAACTAAAAGAAATAATCGACTTTGATAAAATCGTTTTCATGTCAGCAAAAATTATATTTAAAATTTAGATGTAGTGGCTTTATACTTATATTAAGTGCAATAAGGATACACTGAGGAAACACTGTTTTATGATGCACACATTTTGTGAAATGGTTTGCAACAGTTCAACGGAAACGTTAGAAATATGATATTACGTAGGGTACTCATAAACATATTTTTAAAGTTATATTGTTGGGACGTCTCACTTATATTATTTCTCTGCAGCCTTATAAGTTGATTTACAAATGTCAGATGCATTGACAAGATTTTCACAGTTACATTAGCAAGAACAAGATAGAATATTCTATTGCCAAATTACCTTCTGCTCATAAACCTTATCAAAGTCAGATTTAAAGCTGGAGAAAGAAATAACATATTTTTTAGCTAACCAATTTTTTGCAGATTGCCTATAAAAGCATATATATTTTTAGCCAACCCATTTTTTGCCAGATAGCCTATAAAAGCTTCAAAAGTTCGGATCCGCCGGCTGTTCTGCAGTTGATGTCCCAAAGCAATTACGAGCGCATTATGCCGCTGACAGTGTGGATTTGAGAGGCGGTTAAATGCCGCTTCGAATTATTTTGGCAAGGCCTTAGTCGAACATCGCGTAACTGTTTTGAAGGCTGCAAAGCCCCAGTTCGATGTGTGGAAAATTGCACCTTGGCCCTCACCTACCAGCTAATCACGCAGCTGTCGGGGATGTGGACGGGGAAA